ATGATATTTCATTCAGATACATAAATACTTAATAACTTTTATTATTTTTTGTGCACGAAATTATTACATTTGAAAAAAATACTTTCAATCACGAAATTCTAAAATAATAAAACTTTAACATTTTTTAAAATATTTTTCCTTATACTTTAAATAACGAATTTTGGAAATATACAAAGTTTTCATAATCCTATAATAGAATATGAGTAATGAAAAATTAAGTTTGGTAAATTTGAAATGATATTTTATTCAGATACATATATACTTAATATCTTTTATTAATTTTTGTGTACGGAAATTATTATTGTTAACCACTTAATAGCATTAAAGATATTTCTATTAGCAAACAAAAAATTGTCCAGTACAAGTGAAAAATAAACAATTATGATACAAATAAAAATAAAATGCATACAATACGACACTAAAAATAGCTCCATGTACAGGTAGACATATCTAAAATCTATAGAGGCAATTGGATTGAAAATTTTGTTTTTATAGTGGTAAGCTATGGTAATAAGATCTATCAATTTAAATTATTTTTGTATATGATTGTAAGTTGTGCTAATAAAGTATGTGATTCGAATTTATTAAAAAAGTTGTTGTGCTATATTTTATTTAGACCCATTGTTCTATATTTTTAAGCTACTTTATTTTTTGCTATGTTTTAAAGTTGTTTTGTCTATTTTTAGTACATTCTTACGGTACACAGAAAGAGACATATAATTTGATATAAAAAATGGAGTTCGTCATTCTTAAACAAATTGACATAGTTGATCGAGAAACCTGAACCCAAACATACTTTTTTAACAATTGCTTATTGATAGTATAAGAGCCTTAGTTATGAAGTATAGATGATACTTTTTATTTTTATTTTTATAATGGTAGACTACCTATTTTTTTGTTGCTAATAAAGTGGTTTCTGAACCATGGTACCTAAATTTAACTATTTTTTTAATCTTTTTTCTTATTCTTATAGTTAAAATAACGCATTTTTGTAACTTACAATTTTAATTTGTAATCCTATAATAGAATATGAGTAATGAAAAATTAAATTTGATTACAAAGTATTAAAGTTTAAATCAATTCCAATTGCCCTTTTAGAAAATTTATCAAACAGGATTGGGGTTGTTTGAGTGTAAGTTAATGCACGTACTCAAAAGACTCATTCTTTATATTTTATCTAAAAATTGATACATAGAACATTAACATTTTTTTTTGGTGTTGTACCTAACTTTAACAATTTTTTAATCTTTTTTCTTATAGTTAATATAACGAATTTTTGGAATATACAATTTTTATTTATAATCCTATAATAGAATATGAGTAATGAAAAATTAAGTTTAATAAATTTGATTACAAAGTATTAAGTACTTATATTTAACTATTTTTTTAAATATTTTTTCTTAAAGTTAGAATAACAAATTTTTGGAACATATAATTTTTATTTATAATCTTATAATAGAATATGAGCAATGAAAAATTGAAAAATTTTGCTGAAATTAATTAAAATTAAGAAAATTGCAAAGAAAACAATTTGGGACACAAACTTGATATGATACGACTCGTTAGACACGATTGAATAAACAAATAGAGTATGGATAAAAAAAAATTTAACACGAACTCACTTTACAATAACACGAAGTAACACAAAGTAAATATGATGTTCAACACCCACATATACTCAATTTAAAAAAAAAAAAAAAAAAAGAAGAAAAAGATAAAGAAAAACACCTATAGATACTCGTTCACCAAAAACATATGCCATTTGGCAGATTTATGAGATGAACTTCATGAATTCACCTTCGCAAGATTCTTTTTTTTTTTTCTTCTTTCAGAATAAAAGGTCTTTTTCAACCTCTACAATTTAGATTCAACTTTTTCACAAATTCACTGACGTGAAATATTCCTAAATCTTATGTTTCAATGGAGTTGTAATCTTATAGTATCAATACTAGAGAGAGCAATAAAATTGTTCAAAGTAATTTCTTTGGATGTTCTTTAATATTGCTAATTGTAGCTCTTCACTTAAAAACTTTGTTATATCCTAAAAGTGATTTGTCAAGAATCCTCTAACAAATTCTTTGAGTGGGGAAAATCAAAAACTTGAGTATATTTTATTTTCAATCTGCTCAAGCCCAATTTTCCAACACAAATTATTATCCCTCGTTTAGTCCAACACAAGGGTTATGCTTCCATACAAGGCCTCCTAAGGTATCATTCTACTACTGGCCGAGAAGGTACTATTGTACACAAACTTCATCGTTTGAGAATACGAATTTGTACTAAATTTTAGCTGTGTCATCGTACCTCATTGTAAACTCCGTCAATATTATGCTACAAACTATTTTAGAAATAAAAAAACTATTTTTCTTAATGATTCAAGTTGTTCAACTTCGCAACAACTTTGTATGCCTTCGAATAATAATATACTCCCTCCGTTTCTAACTATCTGTCGTTTTACACAATTTTTTTTATTCCATAATATCTGTTGTTTAATGAAACCAAAACATAATTAATATTTTTTCTTTTCAAATTTGCCCTTATCTCTATTTTCCAATAAGTGCTTAATAGATTAAGTGTAGGCTAAATGTCTTTCATATTATTTTTCTTCCCAATACATATTGAATAAGGGTATTTTAGTCTTGTACAATTATTTTTTACTCATACTAGAGTTATTTAATAGCTTCCTTAATCCCTGTATAAAAACCTTATACGACAGATATTTAAGAATGAAGAAAATATTATTTTCTCTGACATTTGCAAATTCTAAAAATTTCAAGATTTATGTCGACCCACATAAGGCTGTCCTAGTATCACTACAACTCTACAAGAAATCTAGGTTTTGTCAGCAATTAATTACTCGTGTTTGTTAGGTTTTGTCGACAATTAATTACTCGCGTTTGTTAATTTTGGGGACACTTTACTGGTGGTTTAAACTCAAGAAATTTTATCCAATAATTAGAGTCCAATCAAAAAGTTAACATTTATTTTTTATCGAGAAAAACTCTGGTATACATCTCTCGGCGACATTTATTTTTGTCAAACAATTGTTTTTTCAAAAATTTCTTATAGTGGGTATTTAGACTATTTATTCCAGCATTAAAAATATAATTTTTTCTACATCAAGTACTAACGACCGGAATATTCGACATGATTATATACTTTTAGTTCTTCCATGTATTTCTTGGTATTCAATTGGTTTTCATGTGGGCCTAGGATTGCTATCAAACTTTTTTGTCAATTTGAGAATATATAGAACAAGATTAGAAGAATGTGATAGTTACAAATCATATGGCAATTTATATTTTATCCTGTTGTAATAAAACAAAGAAACACCAACATAAAAAATTTTAATGTAAACATAGGAATTAATAAACTAAAACATAGGAATTAACAAATTAAAACATAGAAATCCATAAACTAACCTTAATTATGCCACCTACGACACCAATTTAATAAACTAAAACATAAGAATTAATAAACTAACATCAATTATGTCGAATACTTGACCTGTCACACCAATCTCTTAGAAAACTGTTAGACATTAAATTAAGTACCATAGAACATAGAAATTAACGTAAACATATGAATTAATAAATTATCAATTCAGTAAAAACCTAGTTTGCACAATATTGGTTCAACAATACTTCAACCCATTAAAAGTATATTTTTTTTCATGTAAAAAGTAATCAAAAAATGATTTAGAAACATAATACCAAAAATAGTTGAACATGCAAAGAACCATACAAAATACTTCAAAACAAATATATGATATAATAGTAATAGTAATTGATACACTGACATTTGCTTTAATTTCTAGCTTTCGCACTGAAATTAACTAAACACAGGCATCCTTCTTCTGTGATAAAACTCTTCCAGTTCTTTTTTTGCAACTAGTTTGAAAATCTTTCAGGATTTTAAGACGCTTGTTCAATTGTTTGATTATAGACCTACATGAATGGTTGTGTTTATCACCTAAAAATTACCAATATATGGTATTAGAATTATAGTAGAGTTTGTAGAATTGAATAGAAAAGAAAGAATTTAGAGAAAGTTTATCTATCATGTCATAGAGATAAAGTTTATCTACCTAATTTATATAATAAAGTATAATACAATTTAAATTTTAAAAGATAAATAAAATAACTTTTGTTTTTCATGGATGAGATCTCTTTAATTTTTTTTAAAGTTAATTAAACGACTAATATTAATACCCCAAATTTAATAGAAAAAATAGGCTCTTAAGAGTGTGTTTGAAATAACTTTTTAAAAGTACTTCTAGAATTTATAATTTTTCATAAGTACTTTAAAAAAAAGTAGTATATCAACTGTTCTCCCACCACCACCACCACCACCTTAGCTTCACCACTACCACTATCACCACCCTACCACCACACTCGTCGCCCCACCTCCACCATCACCACTACCACAATTCCTATCGCCCTACCACTACCATCTTCACTGTTGTTGTCACCCTATCACCCCCACCATCGCTCTCACTCCACCATCACCTATTGTACAACAACCATCACCACCATTACCACCACTGTTGCTCACAATCTCTACCATCGCTCACCCCAACTACAATTAGTTCTTAAAATCATTTCTCTCTCATCTATTTTTGTAATTTAATTTTAAGTGTAAATACAAATATGTTTATTATTGACCATTTTTTTATTACTCCGTGCCTTCAGGCACGAGAAATAACTAGTACTTTGATAAAGTTTATCTACCAACTCATAAAGATAAAATTTATCTAGCTAATATTTTGGAAGTTAAATAAATATAAAGACTAAAAAATATGTGGGTGTAATTAACTTTATGGTAATAATTAAAGGTGAAATAGAATATCAAAAGTTTTTCACAAATATTAACATTTATAAGTAGTATAAAATAGATAAAGATATAGATAAATAGATAGATATAGATATAAATATATACATTCCATAATCATATCCTATACGTTGGACTCACCATCACACTACAGTTCTATTTAGACACAACTATTTACAAACACTACCAATTACCAAGTTTCTAAGTTGAAGGCATATGTTTGGAGGGTGGATAAACTTGGAAACGCTGCCATGTTTCTTCCTCCCCACTTTGAAGTATCTTGTACTGTACAGTGCACTACAAAAAATTGCGAGCAGCTATGACATATGATCTTACGTTCTCCAAGTTGAATACCTCTTGTCCACTCCTATTATATCATCGTACTAATCAAAATGCAAACTGTCATCACAATTTACAATGCAGGACAACAAAATAAAGCTCATGATAAAAAAATAAATCATTTTCTTCCATTATTGTAGTAATCTACCTAAAATTAATGAATATCTATCAGCTAAGCAAAAATTGCAATGGTACTCAATGGACGGTCCCTCAGAATTCACTGATTCTTCAGCAACAACGGACTCCGGAAACAATCCCCAAGGCACAGTCTGTGTCGCTACATTAGTCCTAGGAACTACCGGCGTATGTGACAGGTCTGTTTCAAAGCGATACAATTTTTCAACCAAAAAGTCTGTCTTTGCCAATCCGTCAGCATCAGCAGCACCCACAACAGCAGACTCAGTCTGCAGGAATGGGTGATAATTGATCAAACCCCAATAGTCCAAAAAATCCATCACCTCTTGCTTCGCTTCCAAATCTCCAACAGAGAGCTCAGATAGACAAATCTTTCAACTCAATCTGTGTGTCAGGATTTGCATGAAACTTATTTATAATCCAATTTCATATCTCCAATTATATTGCAGGAGTCCGACTCTCCGACCTTCCATTAAAGAAAGAAGGCAAAGATTTTTCTTCCAATAGATGAATTTTGTTCCATGAAAACCAACCTACAAAACCAAAAAGAGAAAGAGACCTCAAATTGTAAGCCAAATGGTAAACAAACCCCCAAAATCCTAATTTTCTTCTTTTACTACACGTCTATATTTGGAGTTTCACACCCACACCCACACGCAGAATCTTAAGAAGGAAAAGCTCCAATGTGAGAGAGAAAGAGAGAGAGAGAGTGTTTGAGTGAGCGAGTGTGTTCTATATCTTTCTGTGATTGTGTTCTATATCGTTGAATCAGAACAACTGAGAGAGATTGTTCTGTAGCTCAAATCCGAAGCCTTAAGCTTCTCATTCCATTCAAAACCTTAAGAAACTTTCTCTAAATTATTGATTCGCATAGCTCCAAAATTCACCCAAATGTATAAAAATTAGGGTTTCTGATAAGCCACATTTCAAGCTTACCACAGTGATTTGGCACCTCGCGATCTAGTAGCTTCATATTCAGCTTCAATCTTCGCCTCCAAAGCCTCCAAGTCTTCTTTTACACCTTTCAACTCCTTTGACTTCACCGCCTCTCCTCCACTGCCCACCGATTTTGCCACCGCATCCGCCGCCTCGCTCTTCACCACCACCACCGAATCCAACGGAGATGCTACAGAATTGTTGTTCGGTAGTTGAAGAGCTCTAGTGCACGGACTGTTGTGGTGGATCGAAGGGAACGGCACCGCCTGGGGCTTCTCACGAGCTTGGCACTTCAACGACATCGTTTGGGATGTTGAACTATTGCCACTGCCGCCGATGTTGCCCGCTTTTCACTTTGGGCCACCTCTCCCCCATGACGACAGTAGCTCAACCGGCATAGCTTCCGACGGCTTCGATAGCGTTGCGGTGGCGTTATTCGCCGGCTGTAGGGTTCCGATATCTTTGCGCCTTTCCTTCATTTCAAGGGCTCGATTGGGGACTCTACTGAGATCGTCGTCATCTACCAGACTGACGTCTACTTTTCGGTATGGCACCCAAAAAAAAATGAATAGTATAACGAGCAACTTCTACCGTTAATCAACTCTATAATTTTTTACCGGCTACCACTTAGCCTTATAAATTTATATAAAAAAAAAAAACTTAAACAAAGAAGAAGAAGAAGATGGAGTTGTAAAAATGTTCTTATCCCTTCAAGAGATTATAAAATTATCATCATTTATTAAAATTAAGAGTAAGTGGTAGTCTTTTAATAAAAAACAAAAAAAAAACTCAAACAGGAAAGAAGAAGGAGAAAGATCAAAGCATGAAGTTACAAAATTATTTTTATCGCTATGAACCCTTAAAGAGATTATGAAATCATCATTATTTATTAAAATTAAGATTGAGATTATAGTAAATTCATAAAAAAAAAAAAAAACTCAAACGACGAAAAAGATGAAGAAAAAAGAAGATGAAGTTGCAGAATTATTTTTATCCCTATAAGCCCTTGAAGAGATTATAAAATCATCATCATTTATTAAAACTAAGGTTGAGATTATAATAAGCTTAAATTTAAAAATAAATAAATAAATTTTTTTGGTTAACATTACACTTTTTTTGGTTAAGAGTATCACTTTTTTGGTTAATATTACAATTCTTTTGATTAAGATTAACACTTTTTTTGTTAAGAGTACACTGTTGGGTAAGAGTACCACTTTTTTGATTAATATTACTAATTTTTTTTTTGGTTAAAAGTACTATTTTTTTGGTTAATATTATCATTTTTTTTGTTAAGAGTATCATTTTTTTTGTTAACATTACCATTTTTTTGGTTAAGAGTATCATTTTTTTGATTAAAAGTATCACTTTTTTGGTTAAAAGTACTATTTTTTTTGTCTGGATCGCTTGCATAGCAATCGGGGTTTCAGTAGCAATCTTTGTAGCAAACGATTCTCGATCGCTCAACTAGCGATCATGTCCAAAATAAATTACACTTATTCAACTTAATTAATATTAAATTCATCCAATTTATTCTAAAATATCTAATTAACATTCAATTCATTCATTTAACATCCAATAAAAATTCAATTTACCAAATCAATACTAAATTAATAATATTTTTCATCCAAAGTATTTAATTAACATGTAATTAACAAATTAATATTACATTAGCACATTCAATACATCAAATTAACATTAAAATTCAACTTGTAATTAATTAACACTAAATTACTATTATTTTTCATCCAAAGTATTTAATTAACATGTAATTAA